CCAGGTCCTCTGGACGGATTCTTCTGTGCTGAAACGTTTAATCTTTTATCCAAAAGACTTCAGTCTGAGGAGCTGCAACAGTCTTATAAGCAGCACCTCATAGTGGATCAGCCAGTTTGTTTATGACAGCCAAAACTAGCTGTTCACATAATAAAGAAGGACCATCAGCCTAATGACCAAGCGTTAGCTGGCCGCTTGCTATTCACAGAGGGCTGAGTGATACTAGCAAAAACAGCACTGTAAGAAGGTGACGAACACGGAGGCCTCCGCCCCTGACAGTTTCTTTTCACAAAGATGGCCTCCTTTACTCCTCTCTCAAACCACTGTTCCTCTCTGTCCAGGATGTGAACATCTTCATCCCTGAAAGAGTGACCGCTGGCCTGGAGATGAGTGTAGACCACAGAGTCCTGGCCTGATGATGTTGATCTTCTGTGCTGGGCCATCCTTTTGGCCAGTGGCTGTTTTGTTTCCCCGATGTAAGACTGATCACCCTCCTGACACTGAACAGCATACACAACATTACTCTGTTTGTGCCGGGGGACTGGATCTTTGGGATGAACCAGTCTTTGCCGTAATGTATTTTGGGGTTTAAAAGCCACTGGGACGTTATGTTTAGAAAATAAACGTCTCAGTTTCTCTGATACTCCCTCAACATACGGAATGACCACTGGTCTGGATCTGGGTTCCTCCTTTTCACCTGATGGCTGACTGGAGTCCTGTTTGGGTTTCTTCTCTGCTTTTAGGAAGGCCCAGTTAGGATATCCACATTGCTCTAGAGCCTGTCTTGTGTAGGATTTTTCTTCTCCCTGACTCCTGGTGTCCCCAATAACTATGGTTATATATCAGCTTATAAGACTGAGTTTGACACATCTCCTCAGGCAGAAGAAGTCTTTTGGATAAAAAACAAAACATTTCAACAAAGAGGAGTCCATTCAGAGGACCTGACTCAACCTAGTTGGAGAACTTGTAAGATGTTCAACCTGCTCGGCTTTTAAACTAGTTTGCCTGGCTGTGACGGGTGTACGCTGCCTCACAGTGCTGAAGATAGGCACCAGCTTCCCATGAACCAAAAAAAGATAAAGCTGGTGAAGAAAATATATAGTTTACAATAGACCATGAGTTACAACAACCAAATAGCATTTGCTGGGGCTAGCTAGCTAATGTTAATTAAAGTAAACCTAAGTTGTAATGATCAAATAACCCATGGAGTTGTTCTTTTAAGTTCAACTCAACAGACCAATCAACAGACCACGATGATCAACCATTTTAACCCAGTTTGCTGGATCAAACTGATAAGATTCTGCAGATGTTGGATGCTATCTACCATGGGGCACTAAGGTTCATTACTGGTTGTAACTATCATGCCCATCATTGTACTCTGTACTCATTGGTCAGTTGGTCAACATTATCTACACAGACTCTCACACTGGTACATTTTCATTGATAAATTGCTCCTTGGTCTGCTGCCTTCTTGTATCTCCTCCCACGTGACTTTGTCAATGCAGTTACGGCGTGCACTCTCAAGGGACCTGCAGCGTCCCCTCAGTGCGGACCGAACTCGGCAAAAAGGTATTTTCTTACGCTGCTCCTGTAACCTGGAACACCTTGCAACAAGATCCGAAGCTGTCCACTTTGACTTCTTTAAGAGATTTTAAACATTTTGTGCCAATACAAAAAATCTATGCAAATGTCCTTTTTAGTATTTTACCGTGTTTTACATGGCAACTTGATTCAAATGTTTTTATAATTACTTTTATTTGATTGCTTTTTGTTGAATACCTTCTGTAATTTCAATTCAATTTCAATTCAGTTTATTTATATAGCACCAAGTCACCACAGAAGTCATCTCAGGGCACTGAACAGAAACATTCATATATAAAAATAATAATTTAACATTATTTATCTGAGGAGCAGACTGCTTTTTTTTTAACTCCATTGCAGAACTCTCATCTTGAGCATGAAGGCGACAGTGGAAAGAAAAAAACTCCCTCATGAGGAAGAAACCTTTAGCAGAACCAGGCTCAGTACAAGCGACCATCTGCTTCGACCGACTGGGTTTGAGAGGAACAGATACACAATGGCAGGTCAAGAATCACATGTTAAAATAGAAATCGTATAAAATGAAAACTATTCAATTTTAAAAATTCATTTAAGGAAATGAGGTCAATTTGTCCTGTTTGTCCTCTAGTAGTCTAAGCCTATAGCAGCACAACAAGCCAACCCTAACTATAGGATTTATCAAAAAGGAAAGTTAATCCCAGTCTTAAAACTGGATCATGTGTCAGCCTCATGGACATAAACTGGAAGTTGTTTCCACAAGAGAGGAGCCTGATAACTGGAAGATCTGCCTCCCATTCTGCTTTTGGAAACTCTAGGAACCACAAGTAAACCTGCAGTCTGAGAGCAAAGTGCTCTGTTAGGAAAATATGGAACAATAAGATCTGTAATATAAGATGGAGCTAGGTTGTTGAGAGCTTTGTAGGTTAGAAGTAAGATTTTGAATTCTATTCTGGATTTGATTTAGGTACAAACTAAAACTGGAGAGATATGATCTCTCCTACTAACTCCAGTTAAGACTCTGGCAGCAGCATTTTGGATCAACTGAAGACGTTTTAAAGAAGTATTTGGACACCCAGATAATAAACCATTGCAATAGTCCAGTCTAGACGTGACAAATTCATGGACCAGTTTTTCTGCATCATTTTTAGATAAGATGTTTCTAATTTTAGAATGGTTGTTTGTCTCTATGTGGCCCTGTGATGGACTTGCGACCCGTCCAGGGTGTACCCCGCCCCTCGCACAGTGATTGCTAGACATGGGCACCGGCAACCCCCGTGACCCAAAAATGGAAGAAGTGGTTAAAGATAAAGGATGGATGGTTTCTAATTTTAGCGATATTACGCAGATGGAAGAAGGCAGTTCTAATAAAGTTTTTAATGTGGGGGATAAAAGACATGTCCTGATCAAAAATAACACTAAGATTTTTAACATTAGAGCTGGAGGACAGATTAATGCCATCTAAGGAGGGAGAAAGACTGAATTTTTTTTTCCTAAGACACTCAGGTCCAAAAACCAAAACATCAGTCTTGTCTATGTTCAAAAGCAGAAAATTTAGGGTCATCCAGGTTTTTATGTCTTTAAGACATGCTTGTAGTCTAAGTAACTTATTGAATTCATTGGGTTTAATGGACAAATATAATTATGTATCATCAGCATAACAATGAAAATTTATCCCATGCTGTTTAATAACTTTACCTAATGGAAGCATATATAATGTAAAGATTATTGTTCCAAGCACTGAGCCCTGAGGAACTCAATGACTAACTTTGGTGTATGATGAAGATTCATTTACATTCACAAATTGTAATCTATCAGATAAACCAATATAGAGCCATTCCTGTAATCCCAACATCATATTCAAGCCTCTGTAGTAAAATAGTGATCAACTGTATCAAATGCAGCAGAGATCCAACAGGACCGAGACACAAGTCCATTGTCTGAGGCCACGAGAATATCAGTAACTTTCACCAGTGCAGTTTCAGTGCTATGGTGTGCTCTATACCATGACTGAACTTTGCATGTTGTCTGTCTAAAACAGGTCTCTTGTCAATGAGTCCTCGTGACTCAATGAGACTAACCTGTATAAATAAAGGTTGAATGAATAAATGAAAACCCAACCATACTGAGTAAAATTACCAATGTTTGTCTTGGTCCAGCGTTGATCCAACACAGATTACAAACTGGACTGTTTTTAACCCAGCAAGTTTTAGTGGGTACAGGAGGAGATGTTCTGACAGCATCATTACCAGGACTGTACTGTTTCAGTGATGCTTTTTATTTTTCAGGAACAAAAGCATTTAAAATATTTCTGAGACTGGATAAAAAAAAAAGCTATATATATACATATATACACACATATATATATACACATATATCTATATACATATATATACATATATATTATAATATACAAACAAAACCTGGAGGTTATGAATATAGCTAGTGTTCCCTGATGGAGGGAAATGAGGTAACAGTGCCCTTGCGGGACCAACTGATCGTGCCAACCATGATTGTGAATCATTTGTACTCAGTTTTCTACACAGCTTTTCCATTTCGTCTTCATTTGGATATTGCTGGGTTGTGAGTTTTTGTACACAAGATCTGAGTATGTTTAGAACCTGGTAAAAACCAGATCATATTATTATGCCCTTATGGTTTTGTCTTTTTCCCATGAATGTTATAGTGAGATATGACATTCTGACTGCACACAGTGGGATTATCTGGATTAATCATGTGACCTCTGTCAGTGATTGGCAGCAACAGAACTTATTATTTTGGCTGTAAATTGAAAGGGAGTGAAGACATCTCATCAGTACGGAGTGGGAGGTGGGTGTTGGGACACAAGACACTGAGCCAGGTGACTTTCTTTCCAGGCATGATTTATTGAAAACACACCAAATTTATACTCTACAAACCAGCATTTTTTCCATTATGTTTAACAAGCGTAATATTTGCCTCTGGGTATTAGTAAAAGGAACATAATACATTCTGTCACTGTGGCATCGCCTCTGAGCGCTACAAAACCATCATCAGCTTCACTTCTCTAGGAAACCAAACCCATTTTTCAAATGACTAACTCTTTAAAAGTTTATTATACAATGTAATACAAGGCAGAAACCCGCCAACAGTCTAAACTACATCAAGGGGGACTGAGGGGTGGGGACGGGATGGATGGAATGAGGAGTTTTAGTGGGTGGGGGGGCTGACACGGGGAGGGATGATGAACAGAAGGAATGAGATGACAGAAGGGTTGGAATGGAGTTATATAAAACACATTTCTCTTCATCTAGCATGGAAAAGATTAAGGCACGTGAAAAGGTACAAACACATCTGCTACTCAGTTCCTTTAGCTGGACGTCTTGAATCGGTTCTACCTACACAGGTGGGTTGGTTTGACCCGACCCGTCCGTGGATTTTACAGCACAGTTTACAGTTCTCTGTTCTGTGTAAGATGGGCTGCGCATTCACAAAAACCCAAGAAGCCCACTTTTTTTTTTTTTTTCTGATTTCATGACACAACTCCAGATCCTTTGGTTGTGGTAGTGCATTTAGGAACAGACAGCCTCATGGGTCTTTGTCCAATGGAACCACACGTGTGAGGACACACAGAAGGGATGGTGGGCACTATGACATTTTTAGTCTTTTTTTTCCTTTAGAAATCTGAAATTATTTTACAGTAAGTTGATTTTTAACCACAACATACATCTTTGTAAACACGGTGTAAAATATGCAAGCTTTACAAAGTCACATACGTCACAAAGAAAAACTCGGACTCCAACGCAGGCACATGCCGTTCGCCTTAAGTGAGAGACGCATGAGTGACACCAGCTCAGACCGGACCAGGATTCTGCACCTCGTCTTCCCACCCCAACACGACTGTAAAAATATAGATGCTATAAGTCCAACCTTATTTAAACGTACACACTGCCACCGTCGTTTTGGCTCCAACCACAACCCATGATGCACCTCTCCTCTCCTCCTGCACTCGAATGAATTAGTTCATATTCATAAACAACACCACGAGAAAACTGGCACTTGGAAAGAATATAAACATCTGTAAAGATTTTTTTCTTCATGCTCACGACTTAAAAGTTTCATTAAAGATGCAGCAGCAGGTTTGTGATTAACTAATCTGTAAATGCATGAGGAAAGAAAAAAAAACATTTATATTTATTAATAATGTCATCGTTTTGTTCCTCGTTTCCTCTTTTTGACCCCACCAGAGAAACGCATCCTTTTTGATTAAAAAATAAAATAATGCAGTTTGTTTTTCTCGTTACCTTTCTGGCAAATACAAAATATAAATAGGTGAACCTCGCTGTGACGACAAAATCTGACACACTGAAATTAAACATGTGGTTATTTGTTGTTTACAAACAAGGTGAGCCATTATCAAATGAAATGTGCTTTCCAAACAATGTCATATACAAGAACTCTGACTTTTTGTTTTGTTTCAGCCGTCATTTTTCTTTTTTTTTTCTTCTTTGTTTTATTTTACTCTAATATACATTTATATAAAATCCAACTTTTAGAGCTAAGTGAGCACTTAAAAAAAAACTGAATAAAACAAAAATCATCTATAAACAATGTTTTATAATTTCTTTAATACACAACGCTAACAAACAGCAACTAGCTCAGAAACTCATGGAGCCGCGTCACTACACAACCTGAGTGTTCACACGAGTAACCTTTTGGCTCATACAGGCCACCGTACGCTGCAGTCTGGCTCTGTTTCTCTTTAACCTTCCTCTCGTCACCGTGTGAACAAAAACGCCACCAGATGGAGTCAACACGTCACCTGCTTTTTCCTCAGATCACAACCTGCACACTTTACAAGCCGTTCCACACGTCTGATTTAAAAGCAGTGCACTTTTTAATTATTTTTTGTAAAAACGCAGTGAGCCCAGATGAGCCGTCAGCTCATGGGAGCAGACAGCTTCGTGTTCCTCTACAATGCTACAACTTTTCTCAGGCTCCGTTTCTCTTTCCGTCTCTCTACGTCCATCTTGCTAAACATTCAGGAGCTTTCGAACACACCAGTCTAAACCCGTCTACGTCAAGATGTCAAAGTGTGAAAATAAACCAAGAGCAAAATCATTAGAAACACTTTGTAACACTGGAATCATTTTGATGCACAGGTTTTCTTTCATTGCACGTTCATATCCCACCAGCACCTCTTCACTTTGCTTCCTCCTCTTCTTACGTTTCCGCTCCTTCACCAGCCTCCATCTTGTTGCAGTAAACACTGTAAAAATTCACATGATGTCCGGGAATGTAGATATGATAAAAAGAGTAAGAGAAGTCACTTGTTTTTGTTGTTTTTAAGCTTTTTCAGTTTTTTTTTTTTTTTTTTTCATTTTGAAGAGCACGACTGAGCTGCTGCTGGGTAGTTGCTGTTGTGATCGTTATCGTTTGAAATCCTCTCTGCTGTACAAAGTCCGACTCCAAAGACGAGCTCCTGTGAAATGGCAGTGGTGATGTGACAGATCCTCTTCTAGCTGGGGGTGTCACACTGTTGCTGTTTTTAAGCCTGGAGCATACAGAAGAAAGAAACCAAAATATGAAATATAGAAAATGTAAAATAAGAGTTTCAGTGAAAAACATGAAATAATCTAAATTTGAATAGTAAACAACATCTACTTCAGCTGGTTCTCACAAAGGCTGTATGAGGATTTATTAGACCTCTAACCTGCAGCCTTATTGTTGAAACATCTTTTTTATTTGGTAATAACAGCTTTAAATGTGAACAGATACTCTTAATTTGTGTTTGAAAGCATTGCTCCAGATGGCAAATGAAGAATCAAACAGATGCTTAATGAGCTGCGTGAGATCCCGAGAGTGCTAAATGAACTACACATCTTACCTGATGCTTCATTCACAGCTTTTATCCCCACTCTCTACCAAAGAGGCAAAACCCCAGTGAACACTAAAACTCTCTTACGTTATCACAGCATGAGGCATTTCCTGATGGATGGAACTGAGGAGTGAATGGATGGCCACTAAAAAAAGATGATTTGGGATGAAAATCAAAGGCAAAGGAGTCTGATAGAAGATACATGCAGGCGACAGGACAGGTAGACACGCTCACCCAGACCAGCTTGGAGAAAGTCATGTGTTGGGGCTAAAAACGTTGGAGCACAGAAAATCTATAAAATATTTGTGTAAGGGGCTTTAAGATATCAAATAACTTAAAAGATGATCTTATCTTAGATGCAGAGAGGCAGCATTTAGGAGATTTTAGTGGCTTTTGGTTTGAATTTTCACATGTAACAGAGTTTGAAGAGGAACAATGTAGGTTCCTGGCCGTGGAACACTGGACCAGCTCTTTACCCTCACTAGGGTCCTCAAAGGGTCACTGGAGTTTACCCATTAGGTCTACATGTGTGTTGTGGACTTGGAGAAGGCGTTTGACAGTGGGGGGTGCTCCGTGAGTATGGGATTGGGGGTCGGTTGTTACAGGCTGTTCGGTCCCTATACAAGCGGTGAGAGTTTGGTTCACATTGCCGGTAGTAAGTCAGACTCCTTCAGGGTGGGAGTTGGACTCCACCAGGGCTGCCCGTTGTCACAGATTCTGTCCATAACTTTTATGGACAGAATTTCTCGGTGCATCCAGGGGCGGAGGGGTTTCGGTTTGTTGGCATCAGGATTCCATCTCTGCTCTTTGCAGATGATGTGGTCCAGTTGGCGTCATCGTGCCGTGATCTTCAGCTCTCATTGAAGTGGTTCGCAGCCGAGTGTGAAGCAACTGGGATGAGAATCAGCACCTCCAAATCTGAGGCCATGGTCCTCAATCGGAAAAAGGTGGATTGCTCTCTTCAGGTAGAGGGTGAGGTTCTGCCTCAAGTGGAGGAGTTCAAGTATCTCATTTTGTTCATGAGTGAGGGAAGAATGGAGCGTGAGACTGGTGCAGCATCCACAGTATTGCAGACTCTGTACCGGTCTGCTGTGGTCAAGAGGGATCTGAGCTGGAAGGCAAAGCTCTCTGTTTACTGGTCAGTCTACGTTCTTACCCTCACCTATGGTCACAAACTTTGGGTAGTGACTGAAAGAATGAGATCACAGATGCAGGTGGTTGAAATGAGTTTCCTCTGCAGGGCAGCTATCAGGAGACACTCTGAGAAGAACCGCTGCTCCTCCACATCGAGAGGAGCCAGTTGAGGTGGTTCGGGCATGTGGTAAAGATGCTTCCTGGGCGCCTCCCTAGGGAGCTGCTTCAGGCATGTCCAAATGGGAGAAGACCCCAGGGAAGACCCAGAACATGCTGGAGAGACTATGTCTCTCGGTTGGCCTGGGAACGCCTTGAGTCCTCCCAGAAGAGCTGGAAGAAGTGTCAGTGGAAAGAGATGCCTGGACCTCCCTGCTAAAGCTGCTGCCCCCTCGACCTGACTTCGAAACAAGCGGAAGATGATGGATGAATGGATGGAATGAAGTTTGACACTGCTGCTATAAACTGAAATTATTATAAACTAAATTTTCTGTTCAACAACCTCAAAATGTACCTTTCAAATTACTGCAATACATCATGTCTGCTTCCATCATCTGAATACATAAATCACTGGCTTAAACTACTGCTTTACCCTGGAAGTGTGACAAATAAAACGTGAGCATGTGCACATAGCTTTCTTTTTCTTCTTCACTACAGCTTTTCAATAAAGGACACCCGAGTCCCCAGAGGACGTGTTTATAGTGCAGAAGAATGACTCCTCTTCGTCATTCGCCTCCAATTCCAGCATCAGCTGTCGGGGGAAGCAGCGAGCGAGGTGCTGGGCATACATTTAAACGAAGCAGGCGGAGCCAAGTTGAAAACGGAGACCAGAGTGTGTCATTGGGTGGATAAGCTGTGTTTGTGAATTTCCAAGTCGATCTCCCTGAGCAGCAGCGTCAGGCGCAGTGGCAGCTGGATGTTAGCTGCACTGCATTGCACATTTGCACGTTTTAAATCACCGTCTTTGATTTTATTCACTGAAGCAAAACAATAAATCTTAAATCATTCTGGGGGTGAGTTGGGGGTGTGTTTCAGTGACTTCTCCAGCTGATTGCTTTAAGGGTGGCAGCAGGACTACATGGCAAAGTGTGGGGATGCAAAAGGGGGAAAAGAACCAGAAATGAACAAGTAATAGAAAATAAAAGGATGCACAATCACTCAGAGGGTGCAGGAAGTTACTTTGGTTTGTGCGTTGACTTGTTTGTTGCAGACCTACCATGCATGCATTTAGACCCAGGAGTCAACAGGCTGGGGCTTAACATCACAAGCGTCCACCAGACTGACCGCAGGCCTGTTACTCCTAATATAGTGCTTCCTATTTGTGTCATTCTGTAGCCACAGGGGGACAGGTTAGGAAAAAAAACACAGCAAAACAACAAGGGGTCAATGTATTTGTCATATACGTTTACACACACACATCCAGGATCAGAGAAGCCAGCAATAATATCTTTTAGGAAAAGCTTTGGTAAGAAGGCAGAAAGATTACAAACACATGCAAATCGAAATAGAGAAGTTTGAAGGACCGAGCTGCAGTCAGAGCAGGTCGAGGATCAGCTCCAGGAAACACGGATGGCGGCTTGGTAAATGATGACGAGCACCCCTTCCTGCTGGGGTGACCTGTCTGGAGTTAGTGAGCTGACTGAAATACCCGACAGTCTGATGGGAGCGAGCACCTCCACCTCTCCAGTACAACAAACACTTGCCTGTCTGATAAAAAGTATGATAGCTAAATCTACTTAGTTCAATAAATGTCTGAGAATCTTCATAAACATCTTTTCATCAAACCATTTATTCCTCAGCTGACATTTCAAACCTGCCTGAAAAACAAACAAACAAACTGACAAATCGTGACAGCTCAATAAATCAGCATGAAAAATGTGACAAACAACAACAACACCTCTGATTTGGATCCAACTGGGATCCATGTTTTCTTATCATTTAAGCTGCTGTTTTATACGTTTCATAAATCCTGTATGTTTGTTTTTAAAGTGACGGTGGAAGTGGGTAAGTTGGTGAGAAACTGGACACGTCTGTACACACATGACCAGAAACCTCCGTGCTCTGATGCGAGACCTTTCATAGTTTATGCAAACACCGTGTCTCAGAGTTAAAACCAGACTGTTGGTGAGTTTGTACATGCACAAACTGTTCTGGTGTAGTTCGAGCTGCAGCAGAGCACGTGTCAGACGCCAAAAGAGCAATAAAACTTAAACTTCTATTTTACTGGAGACTGCAACAACAAACTGTCCACGTGCCGTTCAGATGCTTTGATGGGTGCTACCATCACGCTACATTTCAGAGTCACGCCCAACTCTTTAAACCTAATACTAGGTTTTCAACGCTTTTTTTTGTATTTCTTTTATACAGAATACAAGTCTGTCGTCTTAACACGACCTGTATTTATCTTAAAGTATCTCAAGGACATCCTGAACTTTGAACGGAAGAATTGGAGGTCACCTCCATAAACACTTGCTCCTGTTTCTGAGCTTTACGATTACATTTATGTCAGTGTAGATTTCATTTGAAAGTTTTGATATGCTTGTATTGATGTGTATATTTTACACTAATAGTTGATTTATTTTTGTATAACAGCTCTCTCTTGAAAATTAGCCAATAGTGTCTCCAGGTGACCAACCTGTGTAAAAGAAATTTATCTTTTTTGCTTTTGATTGTTGATGCACTTAAAGAGGAAATGATGTCACCGACCATAAAAGTGGTATTGGTCTTGAGCGCTGGAGTGTTTTTATAAGTACAAGAACGAGTATTTGAGGCTGGTATTGAGCCGGGTTCCACTCGGGACACCACCACTTTAAACTGTAAATAGTAAATATGTTCTCTGATAAAATATCTAAATTCAGGTTAATATAGAAAAACTAAACCATTCACTGGATTGTTTACCGGCCTAAATTGATTGAACTGATATTGGCACAGCAATTGTTTACGAAGGGACTTTAAACCTGCACAGAGAAGGAAATATATCTCACAAGCAACTTCATTACTGTTTGCATTTCAGAGTGCCGAGCAGTAATTTCCATCCACCACACAATTTAGTAGATGAAAACTCAACAACCAAGAAGTACTTGAAAGACATCTGACATGTCAAACACCCTCTGAGGACATTATCTTGTGACTCCACTTGGAGGCTGGATTGCCACTCGGCTCGACAGCACACCGTGGCTGCTGCATAATCAGCACACAGCCTCGTGATAATTCCCCTCCGTTCTGAAACGGGGCTCGTCTGCAAGAAGTGCGCCTGTGTTGGCATTTCTTTTAATCAGCCTCAGATTAATTACCTCACAGACACCAAAAGCTTACACTCAATTAACTGCTGGCTCCCAGATCTGAGAGCGAGGCAACAGTAACAGAACGACAACTCGCAGCCTCTTCACAGAGTCGATAACATTAAGAGCCTCTAATGAGAGGCCACCGCAGAAGTCACAGAGCGGCAACGACAGAAACACACACGGAAGGAATGTGACGGTGCTTTTCCACATGAAGTCATTATTTAATCTTTCGTGTCCTGAACCCTGGATGAGATCAGAGGAGGTCGATTTTACCTTTAATGGTTCCCGTTCTGTTGGGTCGGCTGAGCCGTCGTCTGTTTTATATTTGCACTCCTTGGCCCTCTGGTCAATGGTGGTGTAACCATCTAATGAGGTCAGAGAACAAAGATCAATTAATGCCTCTGACTCTGACTAACAGGAAAAACACAGATCTTTTGTTGCAAAGTGCAAGAAAAGGTGCTCAGGACAATTAAAAACTGAAAATATCCCTTCTCATGCATCCACACTGTTCATTCAGTCTTTCAGCAGGTTCTGAACCAAGTAAATTATACAGTATATATATATATATATATATATATATATATATATATATATACACATTTATACCGTATTTTACATTGTATAAGTCAATTTTTTGTGTAATTTGCACGCCCTGCGACTTGTACGGCGAAGCGACGTATTTATGGATTTTTTTCCATATTTTTAGACCAATTTTTGGCTGAGATATGATCGTTTCCATTCATTCTGACTGAAAAATAGTGCCGTACCATTTTAGAGGGCCCTCTAAGCTTTTGACGACTACCGGTATACCTGTAGGCATAAAACCATGCCGAAGGAGGAGTTTCCCTCGTGCGTGGTTGTGACAGTTAATGAGAAGGGGTGGATGGACACAGACATTATGATAGTGATGTCAAAATGAGGCTTTTTGAAGCATAGAATCATTTTGAACCATTGTGTCATAAAGTGGTTCACTACCCGAAGCTTCATTCAATTCCCTTGGGTGACATTTACTGGCAGTAGCGATTGTTGCACCAACTGAAGCCCTGCGAATGTGATGCACCTCTTGCGTAAATAATAGCACTTATGTGTATATGTGTGTTGTACATGTGTTTTTAGTACCTCATTAAAGATTCTAACTAACAATAATAGGCTAATTTAAAAACAATGTGAACTGTAGAGGCGCGCGGGGGGGGGGGGGGGGGGTAGATCCTCCCCCAGAAAATATGGAATAAGAGATGCTATTTCCTGCATTTTGGTGTCTTTTAACAGGTTGTTGGCGCGGACAGAACATCCACTTGTTGTACTTTTAATAAATAATAAAAATGCGCAATGACTTTGGACTTTTTAGGGGTGGAGTGGGCGGATAAGAGCGTTCAAAATTATAGAGTTCCAGGATCTTGTTCTGACAGGATCCGGCTCAAATTAACCACTGTCTGAATATAAAAAAAAACAAGAGCTGTTCGTAACGTATAATACGTGAAGAACGGGGATGTGAGGCGGGGCTTGAGCATCTTAAATACACTGAATCACGCCAAATGTTTGAAACTCCGCCTGTCAACTCGAAGCAGTCAGCTGACTCGGTCTGAATGAAGCAGTGAAGTGGTTCACACGTCATCGGTGACGTCACATGAAGCAAGCTCTGGCCCACTGCTTCACCATAACTACCCTGTAGAGTTTGAAGCGTGCTTTGAAGCTTCGGTGTTAGAGGTAACTTCACTACATGATGAAGTGCTACACGAAGTGGCCAGAAGGATTTTTAGAGCAAAAAAAGCCCCGCTGGTGATGGACAGCATGCGTGCGCACATCACGCCACAATTTAAAGATAAAATTAAATTGTGCAACTCCATCCCTGCCATCATCCCGGGAGGCTTGACAAAAGTGCTGCAGCCTCTAGACATTTCTGTGAATCGGAGCTTCAAAGCAGCTCTGCGCCGCCTTTGGGAACAGTGGATGGTGGACGGAGAGCACAGCTTCACGGCTACCGGACGGATGCGTCACGTGACGTTCCAGCAGGTCCTCGGCTGGATCGATAAAGCCTGGACATCAGTCACCAAAGAAACGATCCAGTCGGAGTTCAGAAAGGCAAGGATGTTAGCTGGAGCTGCAGCTGACGCAGAGGAGGACTCCGACAGCCCCGGGGAGGAAGAGGAGGCAGCGTTGCATACAAAGTATATATATATATATATA